GCTGCTTCCACCTTTTGACTATTGTGAATCATGCTGCTTAAACTCTCTTTAATAAAACGATTTCTTATAAAACATTGGCCAGAAAAATTTCTCAACAAGATCATAGCTGACACCCTTTGCCTTGAAATCTATTCAGCCTGGGATGAAATTCCACATTGTTAAGTAATACTACAAGTACCTTCTCAGAAGTCAAATGCTGTTTCATTAGGTGACAAGTATACTCCTCTCGATCATCTGTCCTCTCAATCACTAAATTTAATTTTAGAATTTGTGTAACATAGAAATCGAACACCATCCCCTGTTGTTACAAAGTTTGTGCCACTGAAAGGTAACAACCACTAACTGAAATCTTTGTCTCCTAATTTTCCAAGGAATTAAGTTGACATCAACTCTGTGGATACATGTAATGTAAGCTTCAGAATCACAACAGTTCAAATACCCGGTAGATTGCAGGATGAATCTAGGTCTGTGTGAGCTCCACATAAGGAGGCTTATTATTAAGAGTTCATCTTAATGTGACCCCTTGTAATGAAGTTTTGAAGGACAGACTCCCAAAAATTGTATCATAAAAGATGTTATATAAAAGATACCTTAGAGCTCATCTCGGGCAATTTCTCATTTTATATCAGGCCAAGAAGCAGTACTTTTCCACTGGAGCAAACGGCTGGCCTTCTTAAATCATTTTTAAGAATAAGGAGGGGGATTAATCAATTAATAACATCCCATGTCTTACTGAAAGGAAAATTCTGGCATAATGTAATGGTTTTCACGGCAGTTCACTAGGAAGTTATTTCATATTTTCAAGCTGCAGTGATTGGGTTCCACAAATCCAAACATTTCATCTCAGAAACTGCTATTAAAGTGGATGTGTTTATCAAAGGCCAGATCTTCTCGATAGTTTGCCTGCCTGAATGCCTCCTGGAAGTGATCTATTCATGTGAGAGAATCATCACATTGTTCAGTAATACGATTACCATTCTGCAAGTCTAGGGCTGTTTCGTTTCATGAAAATCAGGCTGCCCTTCTCACACTTGCCTTTCCTCCCAATCACCATCTTAAATATTGCCACTCAATGTCATTTCATCATGAAGGCACAGAGAATAACTTTGGGATTTCATACTGTAAAGAAATTGTCATAAAACGCCCTACTGTTGCTACTAAATTTGTGCCAGTCAAAGGTGACAACCCTGTTATCTGTTTTAAAATACTGTGCTCAAGTCTCTCAAACAATGTCACATAAAAAGTAAGCCAAAGGAAAAGAAGAAAAGATAATTCATTCATCCTGTTTGTCTGGTAAAGGATTCAATCATTGCAAGGAGTGCTGAACAGGCAGGTTTTTCTTGGGGAGGGGGGATTCTTCACAATTCCAAATTTGCAAAATCAATAAATTAGGAAAAGTATTATTTATATGTCAACGGAATTATTTTTTTTAACACATGGGTTCTCTAAGCCTCTATTCTGCCTTTGGATTATTGCATGATTGCATTTCATTGACAGAACATAAATTACACCCAATACACCGAGAGCAAAATGCTTCCAGCCCTATGATACTTGAGAGAGTACATAAAAGTGTAAAAAATAGGGTGGGTACGGTGGCTCATGCCTATGACCCCAGCACTTTGGGAGGCCAAGGCAGAAGGATTGCTAGAGGCCACGAGTTCAAGGCCAACCTGGGAAACATAGAGAGATGTCCCCCCACCATCTCTACAAAAAAAAAAAAATTAAAAATTAGTTGGACCTAGTAGCATGTGCCTGTAGTCCCAGCTACTCAAGAGGCTGAGGCAAGAGGATTGTTTAAGCCCAGGAGTTCAAGTTTGAGGCTTCATTGAGCCATGATTACACCACCACATTCCATCCTGGGTGATGGAGAAAGACCCTGCCTCTATTTAAAAAATGAAATAAAATAAAAATTAAAAACCATGTGAAAATAAATACCAGTGGTATGCGTATATATATATTACACACACATATATATAATATAGTCATGTGAGATACACACAGACCTCTAATAAGTTGGGCAGGGGGTTTTCCTTTGCTGCTTTTCAAATGTTCTAACCTGAGGCTACATCATTCATACAGAGTACCCCCTGCATAGAATCATGTATAGCCTCTCCCAAAGAAATCATTATAGCACTGCTTTGTGAAAGATCAACTCTTGCTTTACTCATGAACCCTCTTTTCAATGTTGTCACAGTTATTCAGCAATACATAGTTCAAACAAACAAAAGAAGATAAAATAAGCCAGCTAAGCCTGGAAATTCAATTTCCCATTTATGAATTAGATGAAGAAGCCTTTTTCCTCAGGCTTTTTCTAGGGCAGCCAGCTGGCTTGCATTTTTATAAGCCAGTTCCAGCATGCACTCTTGTGTTTGCATCTGAGTAGCTTGTGATTTAACAGTATTTCTTGAATATTCACCCTAAAGAGAAACCACCATCATGTCTCTGGATGAACACGCATCCTCATTAGTTTCCTGAGCACTTATTAAGCAGCAGAAACTTTACATGCATTTTATGTACATCAGTAAAATAAATATGCAAGGTGAATAGTATTATCCTTGTTCCACCAAAATAATTTAAGGAAAAATTAAATATCTTGCAAAACTCAAGTTCCAATATAACCACTGTTGAGGTAGAAATATATAACAAGAGCTGGGCGCCGTGGCTCACACCTGTAATCACAGCACTTTTGGAGGCCAAGGCAGGCAGATCACCTGAGGTCAGGAATTTGAGACCAGACTGGTCAACATGGTGAAACCCCATCTCTACTAAAAATAGAAAAATTAGCTGGGCGTGGTGGCAGACGCCTGTAACCACAGCTACTAGGGAGGCTGAGACAGGAGAATCACTTGAACCTGAAAGACGGAAGCTGCAGTGAGCCGAGATCATGCCACTGCACTCCAGCGTGGGCAACAAAAGTAAAACTCTGTCTCAAAAAAAAAGAAAAAAAGTAGATTACAAGTAACAGATCCACAAGTTCACTTGAGTATGTAAGTGCTAAAAGAATGGGGAGACGACAGTTGAGTAAAGGAGGGTATTCATAAAACCAAAGGTTGCTGAAGCAGGTAAGTTGCCCAGGTTCTTTTTAAAAGGCAAAAACATAACATTTCTATAAAAATCCTGTACTAATATTTTGTTACACTTCAAAGGTGGGTCTAAATTAGCATCTAATTGTGCTTTCTAACAAGCCAATTCTTCTTAACGATAGACAATATTATACACTAAGTTTTTGATACCATACACATCAAAGCTCCAAGTTAATTAAGAATCTATGACTATATAATCACTTTCAAGGAAACTCGGATGTCAAAGAGTGGCTCTCTGTTAACAAGGAATTAATGTGTTATGACCAGAGTTCATAGGACTCAGCCACTGCAAAACATAAAGCTCACCTTGTATGGTTTAGGTACTAACACTCCCAGGTTCCTGCCTTTCACCGAATTTATAGACTGGCCACAACAAATCACTGACCAAATTTTTCATCACTATACTTCTGCCATACTGAGAGTGGACCCAGGCAATGCAACTAGGAAATTGAACAATAACCTGGTAAATAAGACAACTAATTTGGAAAATTTAAGCCAAAACTACTTGTTTGGCTGGACACGGTGGATTACGCCTATAAACCCAGCACTTTGGGAGGCCAAGGCAGGCAGATCACAAGGTTAAGAGATTGAGACCATCCTGGCCAACATGGTGAAACCCCATCTCTACTAAAAATACAAAAAATAGCTGGGTGTGGTGGTGTGCGCCTGTAGTCCCAGCTACTTGGGAGGCTGAGGCAGGAGAATCACTTGAACCTGGGAGGTGTAGGTTGCAGTGAGCCAAGATCGTGCCACTGCACTCCAGCCTGGAGACAGAGCAAGACTCCATCTCAAAACAAAACAAAACAAAAAAACCTACTTTTCACAAGCAGGAACGATGTGGGGCTTCAACTGCTTTCTTAAGTCAGTTATATGCACCCAGCTTTAGTTTCCTTTGAAGCGTTCAATTTTTTGAAGGCGTGAGCAATATTAAATAAAGAAAGGCCCCTGCCTTGAAAATAAGTTTCTGACATGAAAAACAAAACAGCTTAATAAACAATTGAAGCTGTTTTTAAAGGCAAAAATTGTTTCTTGCTTGAAAGAACAGCAATCCAAAACTAATTTAAGTATAAAACTTATGGAATCATTGACTCAGCTTGTCCAAACACTAGTCTACTATCCAAATTTCAAAGGACTTCGCTTATCTTTCTTCATAGGGAATAGCATTTGATATTACTGGGTTCATGTCATTCAGACATTTATGTCCTAAGCAAATCAAAGATCTACTTATGCACATTCATCATTACCTGCTTCTGCGTGTCACCAGCGGGCTTCAGCAGGACTCAGCCACGGAAGAGTATTCCATTGTTTCTCTAGTTCATCTCTACAGTTCTCATTTCTAAAATAAAAAGCTCGATCTAAGTTTCCTTTTAGATTTTTTTCAGCACTTACTGTTGGCTAATTTGCAGCATGGGTTTAACGACAAAGACCATATGTAGCCAGAATAATAAATCCTAGCAAGGAAAACAGATATAGGGCAAGTTATTTTGGTGTTATGTAGGTATGACTTTAAAGGCTGGATGGCCATCTATTTATTTGATTGGAATTTCTGTCATTGAATTTTATGGCCCACCAGAAACTACCAACCCTGCTTCCAAGTGGAATAAAATGTGATTTAGGTGAAGGTGGTAATGAATGCAGACTTCATGACCCAAGGCGATAGCTCTTAAATAGCTTCATTCCTGCTTTGGCTCCAGTAATTGTAACCACATTTAATATGGCCCCAACTTAACTTTGGCCATATCCACACAGAGAGCTTTTTTGTTCTTTTGAGACAAAGTCTTGCTTTGTCAACCAGGCTGGACTACAGTAGTGCAATTATCACTCATTGCAGCCCAGTGAGACCCTGTTTCTAAAAAAAATAAAACTTTAAATTAACCAAGGGTGGTGGTGCTCACCTGTAGTCCTCGCTACTTGGGAGGCTGAAACAAGAGGATCACTCGAGCCCAGGAGGTCAAGGCTGGCAGTGATCTGTGACTGCGCCACTGCACTGCAGCCTGGGTGACAGAGCAAGACGCTGTCACAGAAAAACAAAACAAAAGAGCAAGAACTATCCTGTTATTTCTTACCCGCAGACTTATGTCCTCACACTCACCAGGCATGTTCACTCAATGGTCTTATATAAACAAAAATCCCAACAACAAAAACATGTTTTAACTGCTTTTACTTCTTTTCTAATTTCTGAAATAACTATTTACATGTTCTGCACCTTGTTTCCTCTTCACTAACACCACCAAATCTCTAAATATGACCTTATGAAGAAATAGTAAATTTAAAGATTTTCCACATCCTAAATTTTATTTCAACATGTATAATTGTGAACTTCCTTTGTTCCAAATATGAACTTAAGCAAGTGACATTCACCTCCAGTTCTCAAGAAAATATCTTTGCTTGAATGTTTAAAGTCTGAATGTCATCTACCAATAAGATTTGAATCCCCACTATTTAATTTTCTCGCATGATTCTTGTTCTTACTGGCTGCTAATTACCTCTTTTGTGCATGCCCTTTTGCTTTTAGTAAACTGTGGATTCCTCAGGGGCAGGAGCACATTTTATTCCTATAGCCCCACAGTGACTGGCATATTAAATGTTTATAGATGATTTGCTATACCTTATAAACTATCCTGGTCTAAAATTAACTTCAAAAGAATAATGGTAATTACATCACCTCAGTGATTGCAACCCACACCTTCTATTCCAAATAGAATGTTGCAAAGCTTTTCTCTAGTTTCTCTGGAAAAAAATATAAAAGAACAAAAAGATAAGGACAAAAATTAGAAAATAATACACTGTACTATATAACATTCATACACCATTACTAAAATCACCCACTGTGACACTACTAGTAAAAGTGCCAAAATATAAGGTGATATTTTGCAAAACCAAGTTCATTTTTAGCTCACTAAAATATATATTACCTGCCCAAATACACACATAAAGATTTCATTCTTATATACCATGTGATGTCCTCTTCCACAAAAGTATTGCATCAGGTACCATTACTACTGGAATTAGGGCAGGAAAGATCATCTCAGTATTTTGGCCAAGATTTGGAGGTCAGAATCCATTTCAACTGGAAAGAAACAAATTATTTTTTAAGAACCCAGTAGGTCTATGATAAGCAGAACAATAGCCCCCGCCCCTCACCCCATACGCGATAATAACATCCTGATAATCATATTGGAAGAATTACCACACAATTCATATCTAGAAGATAGTCAATGTAAAAGAAAAGAAGAAGTGGGGGAGGGAAGGAAGGCGGCTGTGGACGAATCTAATTCAGCAAGTTCACACAAATATTGGAGTTTCTCAAAATCGAAGGCTTGTGAAGATTTTGTAGAAATGGGACAATTGTGAGGAGAAACGTTATGAAGGCTAGTCATTCAAATTTTTAAAAATAAAGAAAAAAATTGTTTTTAATGTTATCAGGAATGAATTGAAAAAAGTCTGCAGACAAACAGCGTCACTCTATAGATCTAAGCATTGCAAATATCAGACCGAAATCTCTTTATGGGCATGTATCAAATTTTATTCATTTTTTTCTATATTCATGACCCAGGAGAGTACCTAGCATGAAGTATTTTTAATAAGTATTTGATGCATAAATAAATACAGGATCTAAAGAAGTAAGCTTTAGAGTAGAAGATAGTACCTCAAAATTAAAGATGATTCATTCATTCTTTCAGAAAATATATATTGAGTGATAATTCTGTGCCAGATGATAAAGTAATAAGAAAAATACTGTTCCTGCTGTCATGAAGCATCAAAAATTCCTCAGCCCTCAAGTACCCTCCAGTCATTAAGCATCTTTGAACATCTCTATTCCAGAAGGTACAGCTTTAATTTCATAAATTACTATTTCATTGTATCAAGTTTGTACATTCTCAAGACCAAATTATTTGAGGCCAGGATTCTCTTATTTCTCACCTATGCTGATGAAGCTATTTTTAATGACATTTTTCAGACTTAATTAAAAATGAATAAATAGGCCGTGCACAGTGGTGCGTGCCTGTAAACCCATCACTTTGAGAGGCTGAGGCAAGTGGATTACCTGAGACCAGCCTGGCCAACATGGTAAAAACCTGTCTCTACTAAAGTACAAAAATTAGCCAGGTGTGGTGGTGGGCACCTGTAATCCCAGCTACTCAGGAGGCTGAGGTAGGAGAATTGCTTGAACCCGGGAGATGGAGGTTGCAGTGAGCCAAGATTGCGTCACTGTACTCCAGCCTGAATGACAAGAGCGAGACTCTGTCTCTAAATAAATAAACAAATAAATGCTCCAGTCTGAAAGCAATTTATCCTCGAAGGGAATCCTCTGCCTCTAGATCCGGAGTTTTCATCACTCCCATGTAGCTGAGACAAGTTGAGAAAATCCAAGCAATACAGTGAGCGTAGGTATACCAAGTGCAAAGAGAAAATGGAAATGACTTAAAACTAATGAAAGAAGTGTGATTGAATTTTATTAAGCATCATGGGTGGGAATAACCGAGCAAGAATACGTATCCTCCTAGACCTGTGATAGGATAGGGATCTTGTGACCTTCACAGGGTACAGTGAGCAGTGCTGAAAAAGGTGCAGGCTCAGTAAATGAACTAATGCCTCATGATCAGTGCCTGAGCCAAATTTTTCTTCCCAGAAACAAATATCTTTCCTGGTTTGATAATAGCATACACAGTGTACCCCTAGAGACACACAGGACTCTAATCTTTTTCTAGTTCTAATGATGGAAGAGGCAAGCAGAGATTAGGACTTGGTTAATAGTTTCTTGAGTCATCATTTCTTTAGTTTATCAACTTTGCCCTGGCAGCATTCACTGGCCAGTACACATCGCTGGGGAGTTCTGATCTTCCCCACCTATGGTGAATGTAAGCAAGGAGCCAAGCAGGGTGTTGCAACCATGTACAGATTTAGAAGGAAGGCAAAAGGGGAATTGTTCCTTTTAGTGTCTAGTGACTTTGGCTAGACCAAATTTAAGAGCCCATTTTTTTTAATTAGAAAAAGTCTTAAGTGTAAGCATCAGAAAAATGTATGAAGTGGACACAATATTTTTGATCCTCGCCGTATGTCTTCTTGGCTTCCTACCCTGCCCCGGTCCCTCACCCAGCTCAGAGGCTGTCCCTGCATCACGCTTCTTGTGTCAAATCTTGCTGCTAAGGGCTTCCTCTCATTGGAAGTACAGGCTCCACGAATCCCCAGCTGACTAGAAAACATTCTGATCAGCAGTTGTGCCATAATTGTTAGCAGCCTAAAGTGTTCCTCCTAAGGAATCCTGTCCTTTAACATAGAGTGAATGGAGACCTTTCCTTAGCCTCAAGAAATATAATTGAGCACCTATGATTCTCACCAAAAAGGCTTCTCAACCAGCAGGAGTCTTATTGTAAGTTTGATAATGGCCACCCCTCTGGAAATCCTGTCCACGCAAAGATGATATTCCCAGGAGTCAGACAAATAGCACCATAGCATGCAGAGATCAATCATGTACTAGGAGGTTCTCTCTATTGACTTGCAAATGAGCAAGGTGTCAGAGGAAGGAGAAACTATCATGCAATATGCTGATCCAGAGGGTTTTTCTTTTTTCCTGCAAATCAGGCTCAATTTTTGAAGACCCAACAAACATCCCAAAGGTGGTTTATGCTCCTGTAAAGTTAATATTTCCCTGCTTGCAGAGATATTCTTCTTTTGCCCTTGGAAAGCACTCTAGTAGAATTTCACTGTATTATGAACAGCTCTGCCAAGAGCATATTTTTAGCCTCCTTTAGCGATTTCCATATATCTCTATACCAGTATATCTCTGAACTGCACATAATCTGTTAAATAACCACCAAATTATTTAACATACTACATACAGTTTTTTTAAACAATTGACACTAACTAGATTTTTTTAATGAAAACTGTAAATGCTATTGCTACATACAATATTATGCTGATCCAAGACATACCAGTTAATAGCAAATTTAATTTGGGAAATAATTTCTATGATATAAAAGGTATCATCTTCCTTGTAGTCTCTAGCGTAGCAATGGCTTATGTGACCTGAGGCTGACTGCCCAAGCCCTGTAAAGAAGTTCATTAATCGGATGGGGTTATTTAGGTGGATGGTTTGTCGATATGTCTAAAGTGGCATATACAGCAATCATTTTTATGACGACAAACACTAGAGAGGCTATTTTAAAATCACAACTGGGGAAAGATAAAAACATGGACTGCCATCATTGTAGCTATTGTCTGTCCTTTTAGACCTCTTCTTTTGTTGGTTGCTACTAGCAACAAGAAAATTAAGCTAAAGAAATTTTAATCAAATAGATACTGCTCTGTACCTCACTGATCATATATTCTGTTGCATTGAAAAGCAGGGGAATTCACTTGAAATCAATAACCTGAAATACAAATTCTTTTGGAAGGAACTATTAAAAATCTTAAAACAACAGTCATCAATCACAAAGATTAGGTTGTTCGAGACATGAAAAATCACCTCCATGAAGCTGATGAGCATCTTTCTGCTCTGCAGCATGAGGAACTGTGAGATTCACTTTTCTGCTCCTTAACAAACAGGAGCAGAAATGAAATTAAATACTCAGTTCTCATCTGAGAAATTGATCTGAGCCATTCACATTACTGATTGTGATCCTGGAGGTTTTGATCATTTGAACATAGGGGAAATAAAAGGAACTTTGAAAAAAAATCATAATAAATAAATCTTAATCCCACAGTCATGAAATACTGTAGCTGAGGCTACTCTTAACTGAGCATTTACTATGCCAGGCATTGTGCTAGATATTTATATATCTTAACTCACTGAATCCTCATGTGTCTGCAGAGAGAAGAGCTTTTCTTTTTGTCTTCACGGGGGAACAAAAACGAAGAGGTTAAGTAATTTGCCTAAAGTCAGACCATCAAAAAATGGCAAGGGAGTTGAGACCTGCTTTTGCACAACTTCAAAGACCTTGCTATTACTTTTAATGGCAAACCCAGCAATTACTTTTGCACCACCCTAATATTTTTCACTCTGCCACACTGGTTCCCTGAAAACACAGAAAACTATCAATCATTCACAGTACCTTATATAATAGGGTGAAGGAGGGCCTCCTATTTTCCAAGCACTTTACATATATTATCTCCTCAAAAGCACACTGTAACCTTGTGAAGGAGGTATTTAGAATATTGATGTCCAAACCTATTAAGGGACTTCATGAATATTACAGAAATATGAGGTGGCAGAGCTGGCATTTGAAACCAGATCTGTCTGACTCAAACACATGTCCTTTCTACTCTCTTATCCCACCTCCCACAAAGTAGAGCCTTTAGATAATGGTGATATTGGTGGATTGAACAAAGATTATCTCAGATGAGCCTTTGTTGTTGAATGTGGCTAGGTTTCAGAGGATAATATTTGACCTATGGCATAGGCAAATCCATATAACATCACAAATTGCTGTATAACAAAGTTATCTCTTCTAGTTTTTATTGGAAACCACAAATCTCCATTAATTTTTTAAAAATTATATTTGGCTTTTAATTTATTTTTTTAATATATATTTTATTGCACTTTAGGTTCTGGGGTAAATGTGCAGAACACGCAGGATTGTTGCATACATACATACATACATGGCAATATGGTTTGCTGCCTCCATCCCCCCTGTGACCTATATCTGGCATTTCTCTCCGTGTTCTCTCTCCCCAACATCCCTACCCACTGCTGTCCCTCCTCTATTCCCCGCCAACAGACCCCAGTGTGTGATGTTCCCCTCCCTGTGCCCATGTATTCTCATTGTTCAACACCCACCTATGACTGAAAACATGCAGTGTTTGATTTTCTGTTCCTGTGTCAGCTTACTGAGAATGATGGTTTCCAGATTCATCCATGTCCCTACAAAGGACACGAACTCATCATTTTTAATGGCTGCATAGTATTCCGTGGTGTATATGTGCCACATTTTCCTTGTCCAGTCTACCATTGATGGGCATTTGGGTTGGTTCCAGGTCTTTGCTATTGTAAACAGTGCCGCAATGAACATACATGTGCATGTTTCTTTATAATAAAACGATTTATAATCCTTTGGATATATACCCAGT